GCAATGGTTAACAATAAAACCGTAACAATAAAACAGTAAAAGTGTAACAGTAGAACAGTAACAACAAAGACAACAACAAAAAAAACTACAACTATTTTATTTTTTTTTTAATTTTTTGGAATTTGTACTTATTTTTTTTTACTTTTTTTTTTTAAACTTTAACTTTTTAAAACAGAATGTAGGGTCTCTGCAAATGCAAAGACATCTTTCGAGACCCTGTGTATTTATGTAACCTGAACTGTGCCGTGCTGTACCCTATACTAATACTCCACTAGTGTATGGTAGCGACGGAAGCAATCCTTGATGCAGGGGCCAAGTTGGCCAGGAGAGGAGTAAAAAAAAAGTGCCTGTCATGCCTAATTCAATGTCTGCTACAGAAACATCTTTTTTGGGGGTTCCCTCGGGTTGGGGTACCAAGAATGACATCAGGAAAATGCCTCTCATGCAGCCAGCTAACTGCATCTGGGTTGGGGGTTTGGGACACAGCACCTTCTGGATGATCTCTTCCTGGAATTTTAGGAAGCATCCACTATGTCCAGTTGCTTTGTAAGGTATAAAAGCGTTATACACTGTGTTCCAAATTATTATGCAAATGATATTTTTTCATTTTCCCAAATAATTGATGTAAATAACAGTCAGCATAATTCTCATGTTATCAACTATTAAGAGTACAATTCAAATTTTATTGAACAAACCTCCTAATGATAACAGTATTTTTTTTAAACATAAAAAACTTACAATGCACTGTTCCAAATTATTACGCACAGTAAGTTTCAAAACACTTTATAGGTTGTAAAGAACTGAAAATTGTCATTTGTTGTGTTTGCAGCATATTTACTGAAATCAAAAGCTATTTCAATCAAACTTTTAACAACAGTTTAACTTTTTAAACATTTTAACAGGTCACGTTACATTTTAACATAGGACCCCTTATTTGATAGCAGCTTCACAAGTCTTGCGTCCATTGAACTTGTGAGTTTGCTTGAATTTGTTTGCAAGATGTCAGAATAGCCTCCCAGAGCTGCTGTTTGGATGTAAACTGCCTCATAGATCTTTTGCTTGAGGATGCTCCAAAGGTTCTCAATAGGATTGAGGTCAGGGGAGGATGGAGGCCACACCATGACTTTCTCTCCTTTTATCCCCATAACAGCCATTGATGCAGAGGTATTCTTTGCAGCATGAGATGGTGCATTGTCATGCATGAAGATGATTTTATTACAGAAAGCATAGTTCTTCCTTCTGTACCAGGGAAGAAAGTGGTCAGTCATAAACTCCACATACTTTGCAGAGGTCATCTTTACACCTTCGGGGCCCCTAAAGGGGCCGACCAGCTCTGTTCCCATAATTCCGGCCCAAAACATCACTCCACCGCCGCCTTGCTGACGTCGCAGCCTTGTTGGAACAGGGAGGCTGTCCACCAACCATCCACTACTCTATCCATCTGGACCATCCAGGGTTGCACGGCACTCATCAGTGAACAGGACTGCTTGAAAATTAGTCTTCATGTATTCTTCTGCCCAATGCAGCCATTTCTGCTTGTGAGCATTGGTTATTGGTGGCCGAATAGAAGGTTTATGCACAGTTGCAAGACTCTGGAGGACTCTACACCTTGATGTCCGTGGGACTCCAGAGGCACCAGCAGCTTCAAATATTTGTTTGCTGCTATGTAATGGTATTTTAGCAGCTGCTCTCTTGATCCGATGCATGGATCTGGCAGAAATCTTCCTCAATCTGCCTTTATCTGCATGAACCCGTCTGTGCTCTGAATCAGCCACAAATCTCTTAATAGTGCGATGATCATGCTTAAGTTTTCATGAAATATCTAATGTTTTCATACCTCGTCCAAGGCATTGAACTATTTCACTCTTTTCGGCAGCAGAGAGATCCTTTTTCTTCCCCATATTGCTTGAAAATGGTGCTCTGCTTAATAATGTGGAACACCGTCCTTTAGTAGTTTTTCCTTAAATTGGGCTCTCCGGCCAATCTAATTATCACAGGTGTCCGAGATTGTTTTCAGTGATCAAAAGAGCCCTGAGACACAATGCCATCCAGGAGTTAAACTGAAAAACAAAATATTTAATCTTTGTGACACTTAAATAGAATTTGCATAATAATTTGGAACGGTGTATATAGCCAATTGAAATAAATAAACAGACACTTTTTTGTACCAGCGTCTGGCTTTTCAGGAAACTAAGTACGGCTTCATCATCTGGTCATTGAAGTCCCCCCCTCCCATACAGGTTATAATCGTGGACACAGAGGGGCTTCTCAACAACACCAGCTGCCGTGGTAATTTGGATGGCCATATCTGCGTGAATGGAAGACAGGACGAAAACATCCCGTCTGTTCTTCCACTTCACTGCGAGCAATTCCTTGTCTCTCAAGCAGGCTTTTCCCTCCTTTCTAAGATGGGTATTTACAAGCCGTAGGAGGACAACCCAGCGATTAGGTCGCACAGTGCCACATGCGCCAATTCCACAATTGTACAAATGTCTAAGGAGGCACGCTTGAATAAAAATTGTCCATGTACAAGTGGTACCCCATATCGAAAAAGGGTGACACCAAGTCCCAAGCTATCTTGCCACTGCTCTCCATGTAGTCTGGGCATCCGGGGGGCTCCACGTGACTCTCTTTTCCCTCGTAAATCCGAAATTAATTAGTGTAGCCTGTTGCCCTCTCACAGGTCTTATACACCTTGACCCCATATCTGGCACGCTTGCTGGGGATAAATTGTTTGAATGCAAGGAGGCCAGAAAAATTAATGGGGGACTCATCAACGCAAATGTTTTGCTGGGGAATATATACATCTGCAAATTTCTGGTTAAGCTGATTAACGAGGGGCCGAATTTTGTGGAGCCGGTCAAAGTCAGGGTCACCCCGAGGATGACTGAGCGTGTTGTCGCTGGAATGCATAAAATGCATTATATTCTCATATCTAGTCCTGGCCATGGCAGCAGAGAACATGGGCATATGATGAATTGGGTCTGTGGACCAATACAACCGCAAATTACTTTCTTTAGCAATGCCCATGTTGAGGGTTAGGCCCAAAAAACTTTAAATTCGGAAACCGTAATGGGTTTCCATGCGAATGGTCTGGCAAGGTTTGAATTTGGGTTGGCGGTGATAAACTGTTGTGCATATAAATTGCTTTGATCCACAATCAATGCATACAGATCGTCTGTAAAAAACAGATCTACCAGCTTTTACTGCACTTATGGAACTCGCCATGTCATCAAGTGATACTGCAGTGCTGGTATGAAAAAGATCAGGATGTACTAGGCCGCTGGTGCTCGCCAATTCACCAAAAGTTAGAGTAGCACTAGTACTTGCACTCTGCTGCATATGAGAATCATCATGCGTTTGTAACATCTCAGCAACCTGGAAATGGGGTCGGGTACACCTGATCTTAGCAGGGACCTCTTCTCTGTCGTCTGAGCTTTCTGTCAGGGTGCTGCTGCTGTCTACAGGTTCGCATTCTGAGGCTGATCATTCTGTCAGTCAGTCTTCCCCTTCGCTCTCACCTGACATGCTCAGAATCCTGTAGGCCTTTTCACTAGTGTACCTTTGGTTGGGCATTTTGGCCACTAAATTTATAGCTACCTAGTGCAACTCACGGGAAAAAGAGCGCCTGGCTGTCAGAGACTGCTTGAACCGCTACAGAAAGCTTACCGACATGTGCTAACAGAGAGCATGTCTGATTCTGCGAACACTGCGGTTTTGTGTGTAATGTACCAAGTGACAGTGATCTACTGACACTGCACTTGCTGGGGGAGAAAGGGGGGGGGGTAAATGTAGGAGCTAAACATAGGTGCTGGCAGGTGTCAGGGCTGATCCCGCTAACGCTGCATTTTTGGGGATGCTATACTAATATGAATGTTGGTATATTGATCCGTTCAGACACTATACTAGCAATGGAGGTTTAGTGTGCAAGTGAGCGTGTTCCTGGCAATCAAGGGGTTAAATATGAGTACTGGTGTACTAGCAGACAATCTGACGCTATCTGGGAGGGACGCTAACGCTATCTGTAGTTATTGGTGACACTAATACAGTGATCAGCAAAAAAATCTGTACACTGTACTAATGACACTGGTGACAGGGCAGTGAAGGGGTTAAATGGGGGGGCAATCAAGGAGTTAAATGTGATTACTGGTGTAGTAGTGGGCAATCTGATGCTATCTGGGAGGGGCGCTAACGCTATCGGAAGTTGCCAGCGACATTAATACAGTGATCAGTAAAAAAACTTGTACTCTGTAAATAATGACACTGGTGACAGGGCAGTGAAGGTGTTAACTGGGGGGGGGGAGATCAGGGGGTTAAATGTGACCTAGGGTGTGTTCTAACTGCAAGTATGTGCTGTTTTATTCACGTTTTGTATTTCTTCTTCTCTATGCAAATCGCATGATAAGTAGTGCATTTACTACTTTAGAAATTGGTGAGGCTCCGACCAAGTCAGAACCGCACCAATTTGACCGCTGTAATTGCAGACAATAGGGTGTGACTTAGCATACAATTTGGAAATCGCATAGCATGCAAATCACATGCGCAAGTGATCAAACCAGCCCATTTTTTCTGCAGACACATTTGCACATCACTCAGAACATGACAGCAATATTCAGTGTTGATAGTGGTACGAGGTAGAAAATCCACACGAACAACACCATGTTTGTCCCAGAAAACACATCACTTTACCTGCAGACGCAATGTCTTATGCAGCTGAGTGTCTCATCACCGTCCTGTGCTTAAAGTCTTCTGTAGATATCCCCAGGTTTTATGCCTTCATTCACAAGAAACTTCATCACCACATGCTGTTCCATGCACGCACTAACACTGTTCTCTGCCATCTTGATTAACAGTCTCTGGCCTGGCACACGACATGTGCGCTGCCTATCAGTATTAGGACATACTTGCCACTTAGTACTGCATTTAGTACCACCATGCTAGCACCACTATTTACACCTGTAAGATGAAAAAGTCCCGGTTTGACTTAAACGCCCCGTGTGTGTGTTTCCAAAAGTATTGGGAAAGCCCTCCAAATCCTTGGATTCAGGTGTTCCATTCATCTCCATGACCACAGGTGTATAAAATCAAGCAGCTAGGCATGCAGACTTCCTCTACAAACATTTGTGAAAGAATGGGTCGCTCTCAGGAGCTCAGTGAATTCAAGCGTGGTACCATGATAGGTTGCCACCTTTGCAATAAGTCCATCCGTAAAATTTCCTTGCTACTAAATATTCCACAGTCAGCTGTTAGTGTTTTTTTTATTATTATTATACAGTGTTTATATAACGCCAAAGGGTTTGCTCAGCGCTGTACATTAGCGAGGGGGACAGAACATGAGACAATACAGTACAATACAATACACGAGGGGTTCGAGGGCCCTGCTCTTTCGAGCTTACAATCTAGGAGGGAGGGGATAGTGGTACAGGAGGAAGGGGCTGTGGGGGATGAAGTGGTAGGAGGAGTGGAGGAGATCGGTTGTTAGGTGAGGGTGGGGTAGGCTTCCCTGAAGAGATGGGTTTTCAGGGTGCGCCTGAAGGTGTGGAGGGTAGGTGACAGTCTGATGGATTGGGGTAGGGAGTTCCAGAGGATGGGGGAAGTCCTGGAGAAGTCCTGAAGTCGGGCATGGGAGGAGTAGACCAGGGAGCTGGAGAGTAGGAGGTCCTGTGAGGAGCGAAGGGCACAGGTAGGGTGGTATTTGGGTATGAGGTCAGTTAGGTAGTTTGGGGCAGCGTTGTGAATGGCTTTGTATGTCAGTTAGTATTTTGAATTTAATGCGTTGGGCAATCGGGAGCCAGTGAAGGGATTGGCTGAGGGGGGTGGCAGATGTGGAGCGATTGGTGAGGTGGATGAGTCTAGCCGCTGAGTTCAGGATAGACTGGAATGGGGATAGCATGTGTTTGGGTGGGCCAGTGAGAAGGGAGTTGCAGTAGTCCAGGCGTGAGATAATGAGGGAGTGTACAAGTTGTTTAGTAGTGTCTGGGGTGAGGAACGTACGTAACGTGGACAGGTTTAACTTGAGGAAATGGAGCAACATCCAGTCTGATATGTTGTTCAGGAGGTGGGCGATGCATGCGCAGAGTGAGGGGGTGAGGTGAGAGGTAGAAAGGTAAATTTGTGTGTCGTCGGCATAGAGGTGATAGTTGAAGCCATGGGAGTGTATCAGTTTGCCAAGGGAGGAGGTGTAGATGGAGAAGAGGAGGGGTCCAAGGACAGAGCCTTGGGGGACTCCAACAGAGAGGGGGAGAGAGGGGGAGGTGGCAGCGTTATATAACGCTGATGAGCATTGGGATAGGTAGGATGGTATTATAACAAAGTGGAAGCAACTGGAAATAACAGCAAATAACAGCAACAAAGTTGTAGGCCACATAACATGACAGAGCGGGGTCAGCGCATGCTGAAGTGCATAGTGCGCAGAAGTCGCCAACTGTCTGCAGAGTCAATCGCTAAAGACCTCCAAACTTCATGCAGCCTTCAGATTAGCACAACAGTGCACAGAGAGCTTCATGAAATGGGTTTCCATGGCTCAACAGCTGCAGCCAAGCCTTACAGTACATCACCAAATGCAATGCAAAGTGTCAGAGGCAGTGGTGTAAAGTACACAGCCACTGGACTCTGGAGCAATGGAGACATGTTCAGAGTGACGAATCACACTTTTGTCTGGCAATCCGATGGCTGGGTCTGAGTTTGGCAGTTGACAGGAGAACGGTACTTGCCTGACTGCATTGTGCCAAGTGTAAAGTTTGGTGGAGGGGTGATTATGGTGTGGGGTTACTTTTCAGGGGTTGGGCTTGGCCCCTTAGTTTCAGTGAAGGGAACTCTTAAGGAATCAGCAAGATATTTTAAAAAATGTCATGCTTCCAACTTTGTGGGAACAGTTTGGGGATGGCCCCTTTCTGTTCTAACATGACTGCTCACCAGTGCACAAAGTAAGGTCCATAAAAACATGAATGACCCAGTTTGGGCAGAGACGGAGCGGAGACTGTGAGCCAGGCCTTCTTGTCCAACATCAGTGCCTGACCTCAAAAATGCGCTTCTGGAAGAATGATCAAACATTCTCATAGACACACTCCTAAACCTTGTGGACTGCATTCCAAGAAGAGTTGAAGCTGTTGTAGCTGCAAAGGGTGGGCTAACTCAATATTGAACCCTACGGACTAAGACTGGGATGCCATTAAATACATATACATTCTATGGTTCCAGTTGATTGACTCACTATTGACCCAATACATTGTTTACATAATCTGTTATTCACTTAATATATGCTGTTTGTTCACTCTTCCTGAATTCCAATTCTTGCAGCCTGTGTGAACTGTACTATATTTTGTACTGTAATTATAAATGACACCACTAGCAGGTGCAAGGACACAAACGTTATTGACGGGGATATGGAGTATGTAAAACAGTAGTGAGAAGAGTCTGGCACAATGTTCAGTCATGTGGGAGAGGCACTGTGGGGCATTCAGAAAAGTATAATGGGTGCTTTGTGTTTCCCGCAGCTGAGCTTTTCTCCCCCAACCATCTATACTCATTACATTCCCCCTCCTTCGTGCTTCAAGACTTTTTTCTGCAAATATGAGAAGTTTAGTAGTCATATTCAGGTATTTACTGATTATTTTGTTTTTTCAGTTCATAAATTTTGATTCCAATGATTCCAGTTCACTGCCTGGAAACCTAAGTTTGCCCAGCAGCACAAATGCAGTGGAAAAAGATGTTCAAGAGGCAGCAAAACAGGTGAAAACTCAAGGCAAAAAAGGTTCCCAAGCTGACGAGTCCAGACAAAACCCTTCCTTACTGGGATATCCAAGGCTCATCAAATCACCAACCAGTGGAATACCAAATTTAAATCAAATGTATAATGATTCTCTGTCATCATCTACTGGGGCACCAAAGATCATAAACTCACTGTATCCCTTGGGTGAAAACTCCCTAAGTGCCTATGGAGTGCTTCTGCTGTCTCTGGTGGTCTTTGCTATAGGAATTGTTGGCAATCTATCCATCATGTGCATTGTATGGCACAGCATGTCTATGAAGAGTGCTTGGGACTCCATCCTGGCTGCTGTAGCACTCTGGGACTTTATTCTTCTTTTTTTCTGTTTGCCTGTAGTTGTTTTCCAGCAAATAACGCATCGCAGATTGCTTGGGGCACTCTCCTGCCGCATTATACCTTACATGGAAGTAAGTACAGCTTAATTTGTGTATACTCATGTTTGGCTTTATACACTGTTCTGTGACGTAGGCAGGGCTTTACTTTTATTGGGCCATATATGGCCAGCTGTAGTCAATTCTATATAGAGGGATAGTTCTCATCAGGACCAGAAATTTACTTCAGACTTCCCAGATTCTAATGCAGCTCTAAAAACTCTGTGGTTAACTTACAGCCCAGCTCTGGGGAAAAAAATTATTTTGTGATATATAGAGTGGGGAGGAGTTAAAATTCTGTCAGGTTTTTCTTACTCTCTGTACACCCATTTAAGAAAATTTTGCCTCACTTTCTGTCTCAGTGAAACCAGGGCAAGAACTGGGTAGGAAATTGTCCCCGAGACAGAAAGGCATCGACAGTAATATAACATTGTCAAGACTTCTAACCAGAGCTAAGACAAGGGGTGGGCAGGAGGGACAGCTGCCCTAGGCACTATGGTTTCATGTGAGGTGGGGGGGAGATTTGTGTTGGGAGGGAAAATGTTTCCAGTAGGGACACAGAAAACTATTAAAACATGGCAAAGGCTTGAACCATTCCCCAATCTATCCAGAACAAAATAAAAAGTTTTACCAAAGTTGGGCTTTATGTTAACCAAATATGTAGAAGTTTTGGAATTTTATCAGAACCTGGTATGTCTGAAGCAAAGTTCTGACCTTAATAAAAAAAAAAAACATCTTGTTATATACAGCTAACTAAAGGTGACCAATGAGGATGTTCCAGATGTGTCTTGGTTTGATTTGTGAAATTAAAAGGAAAATCTTGAAATTCAATTCCTTAATTTCAAGGTTAAAGTATACACCCATGCAGGGGTTGTGTTTTGCCTGCACAGTATGCAAAGGTATTCCAACGCATTCATGTCTATTGGAATGCGAGGACTGCATGAACACAGTTTCTGCTCCCAATTTGACATCTGTGTGGGTGCGGGTTCCCAGATGCATAAAAATTATATAATAAACAGCGCAAAACAATACCCAACAAATTTCACATAATAAAGTGAAAAACTCATATTTTGATTTAAAGTGTCCAAAATTAATGTGTCCAAAAAAAATATATATATAAAAAAAATATAATAAATAAATATATAAAAAAAAAAAAAATATATAAAAAGCTTTTCTCCAACTTCAGAGTGCTTCACCACCAAAAACGAATAAATATATATTGTGATTATCCTTCTGTGATAAGTGCTTCCACCATCCACCAGTGAAAAAACCACCATTAATCGCACTCACCAGATAATGGCCAATAGTAAGCCTTTTAGGACTTTTAGGGATCCTACACCCCCTCTTATCGCCTCCAGACCTCCATTCCACCACACCAGACTAGGATGATTCTTCCACCTCCTTTCTCCAAAACCACTCCATCGTTGTGCCAAAGAAGAAAATATTGCATATAGTGTGATATTGCTAATGACCTCCTCTTAAGTCTATGGTAATAATACCAGGTCACTCATAGTTCACAAAATCATTAAAGGCTTTTTATTATATAACCTCCATCGGCCAAACACAGTCAAATAGCATCCAGGATCAATTGCAGAAATCCCACAACTTGCTGTGCAGAGGATGACAGTATGTGTGACAGACAGATCCCAAAAATGGCAGCTGGAACGCACCGTTCGGCGTGCGTTCCACTCACTGGAAGTGACCTATGACGTTCAAACAACGCCCAGTGGGAGGGGCGAAACGCGTTGACGCACTTCCGGTCCGTTGTTTGAATGTCATACGTCACTTCCGGTGAGTGGAACGCACGCCGAGCGGTGCGTTCCAGCGGCTATTTTTGGGATCTGTCACACATACTGTCATCCTCTGCACAGCAAGTTGTGGGATTTCTGCAATTGATCCTGGATGGTATTTGACTGTGTTTGGCCGATGGAGGCTATATAATAAAAAGCCTTTAATGATTTTGTGAACTATGAGTGACCTGGTATTATTACTATAGACTTAAAAGGAGGTCATTAGCAATATTACACTATATGCAATATTTTCTTCTTTGGCACAACGGTGGAGCGGTTTTGGAGAAAGGAGGTGGAAGAATCATCCTAGTCTGGTGTGGTGGAATGGAGATCTGGAGGCGATAAGAGGGGGTGTAGGATCCCTAAAAGTCCTAAAAGGCTTACTATTCGCCATTATCTGGTGAGTGCGATTTATGTTGGTTTTTTCACTGGTGGATGGTGGAAGTACTTATCACAGAAGTATAACCACAATATATATTTATTCATTTTTGGTGAAGCACTCTGAAGTTGGAGAAAAGCTTTTTATATATTTTTTATATATTTATTTATTATATTTTTTATATATATATTTTTTGGACACATTCATTTTGGACACTTTAAATCAAAATAAAGTTTTTCACTTTATTCCTTTATTATTTGAAATTTGTTGGGTATTGTTTTGCTCTGTTTATTATATAATTTATATGATTTGGTGTTTACACTAGTGCACAGCAGCATTTCAAATTTTAGGGGTGGGGATTGTTCTGTGGCGCACGAGTATATATTTATATATTTTTTGAGGAGTTTTCCCAGATGCATACTGTCTACTTTATATACAGTTTATTAAATATATGCATTCTATGTCCTTGAAGTGCACCTACCAGTAACTTTACAAACCTGCATGAATAAACCCCTGGCATGTCAAAAACATGCAGCAACAATATAATTTTTCAAAAAAAATGTGCTTTTTAACATTTACAAGCAGGCCTTTAACTCCAGTCACTTTGCCTAAGCTTAGATGCTTCCATCAGCCTGCTGCAAGCAGGAGGAAGCATTCCCTCATTATCCCCAACCCCAGTGATCAGATTTCATCATTCTAACTTTGTAGCAATTCATGGGCAAGAGGATGAAACAGGTACTGATCTGTAGCAGTCATTTGTGACCACAGCCAAGAACAGCACAGGTACAGTGTCATCTCTAAACTAGTATCTCAGTCAAGGAAGTAAAATGTGTATATGCTGATTCTGGCTGATACCAGAGCAAAGATGAAAAATAGAGAGCGCAGATGTCTGAGGGAGTGCTGTGAGCTCTGTGAGAGAGAATAAATATCTGCAAGTGTTACAATTGGCATGGAACATGAAAAAAATTTAAATATCTAATGCTAGGTCCACTTTAAAAAATATATATATATTTTGTTTTGCAAACGCAAAAGTGTCCCTAAAAAGCACCAGGTCTGGATGGATTTTCTGCATTATACTATAAGAAGTTTGTCAATTCTCAAAAAATGTATAATGTTCTTGGGAAAGGTTCACCTTTCAACACAGATTCAAATAGGGCTACTATTTGTCTGTTACCTAAACCTAACAAAGACCATAGACAAATGACAGACCATGACAAACTATCTCATTAACAAACTGTGACTTAAAATTGCTGATATGACGAGATTGATTTAGTTGAGGACTAAATTGTCCAG